TTCTTTTAAATCAATTTTTTTACACCTTAAAGTTACGCCCTCTCTCAAATCCAGAGCATAAACAGACCATCCAAATAGAACTATAAACTGAATTAACTAACTGAACAAAGTGCCTTTACAACTATTGGAAAGAATATTCCGGAATGAGCTAGAACATTATGGGCTACAGTGTTGTGGAAGGACAAATTGTTTCATTGTGATTTGTGATTGAGAAGGCAGTACCAGTGTCTGCCATTTTATCATTCCTACTCTTCAAAACTATTTTCTGAGCACCAAAAATGCTGTGACACGCAAGTGGTTGAGGCAGAACTAGAGACCTATCTCTAAGTGGTACCCTTCTTTTGGAGGTATATTTTATAAATTTTATTAGCATATTCTTTATTCAAAATATTCATCTTCTTTGGTAACATCCTAATGATTTAGTAGCAGTATCTCGGGACTTTTCATATAAGTTTGAAAGTATAGGATTTGAGTTTCCACTCTAATCGTTTAAAAAAAAAAAAAATCATTTTGTTTATCTAAAAAGAAAAAAATTATTTTGTTTTTGTGTTAAAAACCGACATTGTTACATTGCAAAATAAGTCACATAAAAATGTTATCCCATGCACAATAAAATAAAATTTTATGACTACATAAAATATGTAAATTAGTATAAATTTGTTTATTTAATATCATATAAGTATTTTAAAACATTATTATATAATAAAATTATGGGCATATAAATTTTAATATCTATTCAATTTAAGCAAAAATGAGTGGTTAGGTGAGATAATTTAAAGTCGGTCAATTCTTCATGATGGAGATTATACATTTTACTAACATGAGTTACAAATTAAACAGAATATAAAGAAAGACATATACTAATTAATTGAACATGGACAAAATTAAAGTCTCTTAAATAATTACCAGTTAACCCTAGTGCCGAATTTTAAATTTCTAGAAATAATTGCTAAACCCTCGATTCCATTTCTAAAATACATATAAAAGGACAAATATGGTTTTATTCTCTCTTCTTCTTCTTCTTTTTTTCCAATAATATAAAATGATACCAGTGGATTGTATGATTGTGGTTGGTGTTAGGCACTCCACAAGTGACTAAATAATTGCACTAATGCATTAGGAATGGTAAAAAAGTCAGATAAAATAAATAGGCATTAATTCAAGGATTGAATGATGGATAGAAAATTGAAAACCCATAAAGGTAGGCACCATGTGCCTACGCTGCTCTACCTCTTTCATCCTTTTTTTTTTTTTTTTCAAATGTTTTGTTTGTAGCTCCATTGACACATGCAAGAGCACATGCTAGCCTTTGGCCTGTTTTCTCTTATGGTGTATATATGTAGCTGCCCCTTTTTGAAGGATGGCTACTTGACCCCATCCAAAGAAGATACGTAGAATTTCTAAATAATTCGCCGCATGCATCTTCTTTCTTTTACGTTTTTTCATGGATAATTTTATGAGATTATTTTTCTAATTACATCTGATAAGATTTATAAGATTTAAAGTTTTTATTACTTATTCTTCTCAACTTCTCAATTTAGTCAAAATTCGCAATCATTCATGTTAAAATTGTAAATTTTTTAAGCAATACTACTTTATTAGCTTTTCCAAAGTATAGATCTTGATGGATTTAACCACTAAATTGTAGTCTAAGGACAACAAAACAAAATCACTAGACATTAAAAAAAAATTATTGATTGCCATGATTGTGTTGAAGTGAGGAGAGTTAGGTATAAGATAAAGATTTAAGACCACTAATACACTTTTCATGATATTGATGTGTAGAACGACATTCGTATAGATATTTTAAAAAAATGTGTTTTTAGAAAATTTAATGCAAATATAGTTATACATCAATCAGGGTTTTTTCCCCTGGCTAGTGACATTCTCCTCATCTTTCTTTTGACGTCTTTCTAGATGTCACCTTTCTTTGGATACGATATAGCTTTAGAAGAAATAATTTTTTTTGTATAATTTGTCATTTAATAATTAGTTTTTTTACTTTATTAAGATTTATTTTATTATATATGTATTTATTAATTTAATAAAATATAAAAATTATAAAATAAATTAAAAATTATACAAATCGGTTGCATGTCTATTATTGCCACCTTTAGATATCACAAGTTCAATCTTTGGACTATCTATAAAATTTGACTTGAAATTAAGTTTAGAAAATAATTAAGAAAGGAAGTAAATATCCTTGTTATACACACATCAACACAAGTAATAGAAAACCAAAAAGTGGGTACAGGCTGTATTGTAAAAAATTAAACAGAAAAATATCTTAAAATTATATCATTTTAATAAAATTTTATTAGAAAAGATTAAAATATTCTAATTATTTTTAAAGTAAGAATGAGGATGTATATTTTTTTCTCATAATGTTTTATTAAAATAATATAGTTTTAAAATATTTTTTTACCTAATTTTGTGCAAGTTAAACCGATAAACATTAATCTCTTAAATATAAATATAAATAACCAAAACCAACAAAAACTTATCTCAATTAGTATCCATTAACTTAAAACTTAAATTAATTTGGTGTTAATATCAAGAGTTTTAACATTTGTAGCACGAAGTAATTAATTTTCAACATGGTACACAACATATTTGGAGGGTATGATTATGGCCACACAAAATTTTTAAGGTTACACGAAAACATTTGTAAGTGTGTTTGGTTTAATTGGTAGGAGTAGTTGATAGTTATAAATGTTAATTGATAATATATAAAATAATTGATATTTATTACTTAATAATTTAAAATTAGCTTACATGTTGATATTTTTAACACTCTAATCATTTATAAACTAATAAAATTAATCAAATAATAAATTTACAGTATTCTTGTGTGGCCTTAAATGTTTGGGTGATTACCTATTTTCAAAAAAAAAAAACAATGTTTGGGTGGCATAAACATGGCTATAATTGGACTTTTGGACCCAATAATTTCCTTTTGAGTAGAGCTGTTGTTGAAGTGTGTAATCCTACTTGTACTGTCTCCAGTAAAGTTAATAAGTGGTTAACTAACCAAAAATTTTTTTTATAGGTTTTTTGAATCAAAATGCTGAAACCACATCTTAAGAGAATAATTGATATATTTTTAGTAATTAATTTATATTAAAAAATAAAAATTTAATGAACTGAGTCTTTATACCTAACGGTTCATCTTCAAATCTTAACTATTATGGTGTAATTGGTAGAAAGTTTAACTCCTACCAACTACTTAAAAAAAATCCCTTCCCTTTAAATTCTTTCATGTTCAAAAAAAATAAATAAATAAAATTTTATTTTTAATTTATTAATTATTTAATTAAAATCATATAAGTGA